ATGAGTATGACGGTGCACGCAAATACCTCAAATGTCAAATTTTGAAGTTTCCAAGGAGGGACCAAGAGTTCTGGCAGAGATCAAAAGCTCGGGAGATGGAGAGGGTTTTTGCTGCCTGAAACAGCCGTGCCCTATATCAACTGGTACGATCGACTGGCCCTAGGAAAGCAACGGTCAGCGAAACGATAAGTGAAAAAGATGGCTGATTTATTCACTCGCAAAAATGTCGACTAGAAAGATGGGCCGAACACTTCGAAGAACAGTTCAGCTGACCTGCAACACACCCTGTAGAGATATTGCATACAGGGAACGGAATTTAAACACTGATCGCCCGTCGGAAGAAGAAGTAAACTTCGAAATATCCGTGCTAAAACGTGAGAAGGCACCAGGACCGGACGGTATGTATTAAGCCCTTTTCAAAGAAGGCGGAAAATCCCTGGCGATCTATCTGACAAAGCCTATTGGTGCTACATGGAACGAAGAGAAGGTTCCTGCAGAATGGAGCATGTGGACAGTTATCTGTCTTCAAAAAAGGTACGCGAACGCTGTGTGCAAACCCCGTGGCATCAGCCTTGTAGCTGTGGTATCGAAGGTGCTCTCCTTCGATGGTTGACTGAACACGGAGAGGATGCGCTTAAACCTACCTGGGTTCCGCCCTTCGAGAGGATGGCTCAATCACATTTCCATCCTCCGACAAATTCCGGAACAGCGACACTGTCTCCAGTAATCAACAATGGTTTTATTTTTTGATCTGAAAGCTGCCTTTGGCTCTGTGGACCGTCAGGCACTATATCAGTGTCTGCGGAGCAAAGGTGTCTCCCACAAATTCTTGACCCTCCTTACGGCGCTGTACGCCAACTCCCGCGACCGTGTGAAGGGAATCTCTCTTCTGAGTTCACCACATTAAGTGGTGTCAGACAGGGCTGTCTTCTTTCACCTTTCCTCTTGAACCCCGTGATGGATGCGATCATGGAAGACTCACTTCCAGCCTCTAATACCTGTGGGGTCGAAGTGCTCCCAGGGCATCCGCTCACAGATATCGAATATGCAGATGACATAGTTCTTGAATCTGACGCCGTGGTAATGCAAGTAATATTAAATAATCTAAATAATTCTGCCTCACGATTTGGCATGCGCTTCACACCTGGAAAGTGTAAAGTGCTACTGCAAAACTGGATGGGCTCGAACCCTAACCTCATGCTTGCGGATGAACCGATTGAGGTTTACCTGGGCAGTTGCACCAGTCATGTTGGTCTGGCGAGGGATGGTATTTCTATCCGGATTAGGAAGGCCAGAGCAGTTTTTATGAACTTGGTCACCTATGGCGTAGACGTGGCATCAGTTTGTCCGTCAAGGATCGAGTTTACAATTCTGCGGTGCGCTCCATATTTCTGTACGGATCAGAAACTGAGCCATTGCGTGCCGGGGACGTCAAAAGGCACCCAGTGGTTGACCGTCGATGTTTTCGGAGCGTTGATGAAGTCTGGTGGGGACACCTCGTCTGCCATGCGGCAATACGTCGAATGGTATCCAGAAGGAATTTATCGACCACGATAGATGGAATGGCCACGTGCTCCGTATGCCAGTCGACCGACTTCCTCGAAGGGTTCTTTTCGCACAACCACGGTAAGGGTGGAAACGGGCCATGGGAGGTCAAACAATGACTTGACAGCAAAGTATAGAAGCAATTGCGGGCAAATTCAGCTGTGCTGGTCACTGCCGTCTTCCTGGATTGGGACCCCGAAACCGGCCACATCAATGGTTAGAGACATTGTCAAACATGGCCCAGTCGCGCCCTCAATGGCGCTCGTGCATCCAAGCTTCAATGCAAAGCTCCATTCCCAATCCCCACCTAACAGTCCACAGACCGCGCTGCATTTATTCACCAATTTTTCGGCTCCCGCCGACAGCTACAACCACCGTACGACTAATACGTGGTTCTTACATCTTTTAATGATGATGTCCACAAATAATTGGTCCTGTCTAAAATCATCCAATTGACAACTCTGTGGTACTTCTGGTGGTTTTAGGAAGAAGGAATTATCCCACGATAGATGAATTAACCACGCTTCATGGGTTACGCTGATTAGGACATGTACTCCGCACACTAGAGGACCGTGTGTCTCGCAGAGCTGCTTTCTCCCAATCTTGTGCTGATTGAAAGTGACGGAGTGGTTTACAGAGTATGACCTAAAAAGTAAGTATGAAAACACTAGACAGTAAACTGTGTCGGGTTGTCAACTGTTACAACCGTGGATGGGACCCCGGGACTCAACTCATCAATGGCACTGGCAGGAATGACCCAATCGCGCAATCAGTGGCACTCGTGCATCGAAGCTATCACCTTAAAACATAGCTGCTAGTTCCCGAACTAACTGAGCATGCTATCACCACAACTTGGTTGTCCTTCATGCTCTCTCATTTTCTACTGGTCGAAACTCCAGCAATTAGAGCCAACGTACCCTTGGTGCATGGTTTATAGCCGATAAAATGAACCGAACACGTCAATGGTGAGAGACATCACAAGTCGTGTCCCATACGCGCTCCTGTTGGTGTACATACATCCAAGTTGTTGCCTTTAATGCATAGCTTTCCCTTCTGATCCCACCACTGAAAAATTTACTGACGCCCATGTATTCACGCACTAGTTATAGAAGCTACCACCTTCAGTGCGTGGCTATCTACTTCTATCACAGATTACCTGTGAATGAAATGTGGCAGCGATTAATACTATGCAGCAACTAAACAGTTTAAAAAACTGAAGCTAATGATGTTGATAATAGTAAATTTGAATCTTCCAATGCAACTGATTTGCATTGCTGGATCGCAATGGGCGAGAAGCAAATCGGAGCTCAGCAGGGAATTGACTGGCCTGAAGGATTGCTGGCGTTGGTAATATGTGAGGATATTGGTAGCTCGGGTGCATTCAGTGGCACTTGATCAGATGGCTGTTTTTCTGTTCTCTGAGCTTGGCACCAGGTAACTCAGCGACAAATAATAAGCGATCTGCTTCCGTTCGACCTAAATTCACTCATTTCTTGCGTACACTTCTCACCACGAGTTTGCGCTCGATACAACTCTTTTGAGACAGGTCAGCTCACCGACCTTACCCGGGTGTGATAGCTCAGTTGTTAGAGAGAGAACTTACTGACCGGAAGGTCCGTGGTTCGAACCCGACTTCTGTCTAGGCTTTGTCACATGTTCGTTAGGACCTGACCGTCCGAACAATATTCGAAGTTTGAAGGAGCACACAAATATCCAGCTGTGATGTAAGCCCAACTACATCTAGCGCAGAAGACTAGACCTGGGAATAACTTTTACTTTTTCGGTCAGAGGTGGTTTACAGCGATTGCAGCGCCACACATATACTACTGATGAAATTGGCATCTTCGAATGAACTGTGGGTCTTCGCCGCATCTGATAACCCAGCTGACTCTGATGGCAAGAATATTGAGAGCTTATTGAGTTCACTGATTAGTGTCTGTAACGCTAAGCCTGACATTATGGCACACAACTGATAACTCGTCCCTTTGATGCTGAAGATCTTTTGTAAAAAGGGACTCACTTTTGGACGGTCAGTGCGACGTTTCTTCTGTCTGTGATTGAATGGGTGGTGATGAGCTACATAACCAATATCTGATAGTACCATTATGAGATACTTTCGCTGCAACCGCCGTAACCAGTCTAATCACAGCCTCCGTAATTGGCCCAGTCATCACCCATCATCATTCGTGTTGTACCGTTAACCACGCTTAAGGTCATTATCAAGCCAAGCACTTTTAAATGACTCGGCGTAGACTTATAGACCAAAACGGTTGTGAAGTATTGAATAACAAGGGTTAGTTTACGAGAAAAGTTGAGAGACGATTTTTACAGGCGACGTCCAACTTTTGGCTGTAGGTAAATCGGATAATGCTAGCGAACAAGCTGCTCATTTAATCTGCTTTCCTGGGTACGTTAGAATCGTTTAGATTTTGGTTCCCAGGTTTGCCTGGTGTAAGTCTGATGGAGTAAGATGGGGAATAATCATCAACAATTAATTTTTACATCATGCGACGGAAAACAGTTGAACTCAACAGTGATTGAGGAGAATTGCCTGGTGGTATTTACTACTTGAGATGCACTCGATGCGCTTCAGGTGTGTGAACGGATACACTGCAGTGGTAGTCACAGTAAGTCACTTGGCACCGTCGTAGAATCTCTACGTTCGGATTACTCCCGAATTCCAGTCAAGGTAACTTGATAGTTGGATCCACTTTGAGCAAGCTGTGGCGTGCATTTCTGATGGGCCGAATCCACTCGCACGGCGTTCTGTGGTTACCCATAGTTTTAATCGCTTTGGTTGGTACGATCCTCATCATGAAAGATAACTCATAACACAGCTACAAGCCTAATTTGCCAAGCATGACATTCGAACATCCTCGTTCGCCATAACCAGATGGAAATTAACTGCCGTGCCAGCCATTATCCGATTTTCCTTGTTTCTGAACTGCTGGCTTTTGTTCGGGGGAAGTCGGACGAAAGATCCTGAATTTCCTAACTGTATTTTGCCCACCATCCGGAGAGAGGAGGAGAGGATCGCTATATATTACACAGTACTACGCAGGTGGCCCGTCGACAATACATATTACTTTTAATGAAGAGGATAGGCCCTCTGTGTAGTTGGATTCCCCTGCATTTGGTCACTGCATTTTCCCGCACACTTTGGTGGACTAAAGTGTTTGTGATTCCAGTCGTTGTTTGATTCTTGGAGCTGCTCGCGCTGTTTGCGCTTGGTCCCGTAGGTGTGTAGCACTTCACCTAAGTGCTCAACCTGGGTTCATCCCCACGGCGCTGCTCTTGGTAATTTGATACTGTTCGCCGTTAGCATGGGAATCGCTTGGCGTTGCATGCACTTAATCACTACCCACTCCAATACATACCGTTTTCACGCACTGCTATTGTCTTCTATTGATTTCCCAAGTACTCATAAGTAACATCTACCCATTTTTACTTTATAGATGACTGCTGTTGGCTGTAAGTTAACAAAATTACAACAGCGTCTCCAATCGGCCATAGAGGAGAGACGTTTCTATGAAGCGCATCAGATCTACAAAACTGTTTACTTTCGTTGTATCACTCGTCGAAACTATGTTGAGGCTCTGAAGTACCTCTACTCTGGTGCAGATTTTTTGCTGACAAATAAACAATGGGAGAGCGGTATAGAGCTCGCCTCCATGATACTGGAAGTATATACGAAGAGCAAGATGGAGCTGACAGAAGTCCATTTAAATCAAATGTGTGATTTACTTAGGAAAATGAACCCCAGCGAAGACCGGTCCAATTTTATTCAGAAAGCGACCGGACTACTTAATAACCATAAGTCTCTTTTGTGTGGTTTTAATGAACAACTTGCGCGCATTTTCTGGCAGGAGGGTTCTTTCACTGAGGCACGTTTTCGAATCATGTTATCCTTCAACGGCCATGCTGTCGGATCGTTTCTAATTGCGCTCCACCAGCGTTATGGCCTGCGTTCCGAGATTGACCTGTTCATCACTCAAGCCGTCCTGCAGTTTCTATGTATGCGACAGGCCCCAGCAGCAGTTCTCACGTTCTACACTTATACTCGAGGACATCCGAGACTTGAACCAGGACCACCGTTCACAAGATTCCCTCTGCTCAATTTTGTGTGGTTCCTCATGCTTGCCATAGAGAGAAAGTGCACCGTTTCCGTATTTTCATTACTCTGTGAAAAGTATAGTCCACAGATAAGACGGGACTCCACCTATTTGGCATATTTGGACAAAATTGGTCAGCTTTATTTCGGTATTAAACCGGCTTCCAGCGGTGGAATGAATAATCTATTTTCTAATCTTCTCAAAATGTTAAGTGGCGCTGATGAAGGTGATATCGACTCATCGTCAGATGGACCTGACCCCATACCATCAACATCGAACGAGTTGGATGGGCCCTCAAGTGCCATTGACAATATGTGCGTGGATGATGTCGACTGACCATTCATTTTCCATGAATGTTACAGTGGCAAGTTCAGCTCTGTTATCTCGCGAACCTCGTCAGTTTCCTACTCTGTTTGACAGTTGCTGGTCTTTCCAGCCCTCCACGGGGTTCACCTTTGCTTTGATTAGCTTGACAAGACTCTCCTCGAAATGTTTCTTGGCCTTCAGTATATTCCTCCACAACTACACTTCAATAAAGGACAGTTTTGGCAGCCTGTGTTGTTTTCTTATTAACTTATTTCAATGAATGTTCTGACCGTGTTTAGTGTCCCAAGATATCTTTCATGGGTCCGATGAAACCTGGGTCCAGCTTGATACCCAGCACGTTTGGTTTTGCACTCTATCTCTACCGCGCCATTCAGGTTCAGTTCGGAACTCCAGTTGTTTAAAAAATGTATCATAGTGAGTAATCACATCGTCTTTACTTCTGCCAAGCGGCAATTTAAAGAATCCGCGTTCTTCACTTATTCTAATTTTTCAGAGCCGAGTGAATGAGTCTGGGTTAAAAGTTCCACAACTTCACTCTGGAATCAATTAACGAAATGAACTCTCATCAAACATCGGTAACATATATTTGGGATTAAATTATGAGCTTTTTCGACCCGTCAATAGTAAGACAACAAGACCGAAATCCTCGCCTCCAGCTGACTGAAAATATGTTGCTCATATGACTGACCTTTACCCTTGGTGGGCACCATATTGTGCCGAAGTCGTACAAGGAAGTTGAGCGGATTAATTCAACATAAAATTCATAAGAAAGTCAGTTCCCCCGCTTGTAGAACATGGCTCGATTTTATGTTTCACACGGCGGTTGATACATTCTTCCAGTCTCTGCGAAACGCATTAATTTAGCTTCTCCCTCTCCGGATCGATATAATTTAATCGGCCGATATGTGTTGCCAGTTTTAAAATGTTTCGTTCTTGTGCTGCAATCTAAACAATGTAAGTATATCTTCGTTGTCGCTTTTAAAATGTCTGTTTGTATTTGACTTATGTTTGGTTTTCCGGGCAGTCCCCGAGCCACTGCTTTTAGACTGCGTTCGGCGGTTTCACCGATCCTGATTTGTTTGCGAACATTCGACAGCTTTCGGTAGATAATTGGTGAATGTCTCAGCTTTATGCTCACTGGGGTCAGAGAACGTACCTTTTTATTGCCAGTCAATGGTCTATTTTTAAAGAAAGTCGCCTCAGCACTGGTTGATGAAAATGTGCAGCTCTTCGTCATTTTCACATTACTAGTGCTACCGAATTCAGTCAAAATTTCCTCCATTGGTCAATGAGCATGAGCTCAGTCCTAAGTGTTATAATGTGAATAGCACCTCAAACATTGGGAGACAGGCTGTTAATATTGCAAGAACTTGAGTCTCCTAATCACTTCTCCCTTGAATGCATCGAAAATCCCAGCGGTAATCCTCACGATCGGGTTGACAGCCGTGACCGTGGATTCAGCGTGAGACTGGTTCCCCCAAACGCTCTGCTTATCTTTAGTGCCACGGAGTAATCAAAATTACTAGCTGCGGAAAGCTTGTTTTCCTGGAAGGGCGTGTTCTAGATGAGTTTTTTGCTGCTTTTGGTGGGTAACGTCATCAGAGAGACAACAACATCGGTGTTAACACTGATGCCGGACTGCGTACAACTACGAGATTTATTTAGTTACATTTAAAGTTCTAAAGTGGAAAAAAGGAAAAAGCGGATGAGGGTGGAATCAGTTGCTAGTCTACGGCAGACACTCTGAGGTGCCCATACCTCCAAGCGCTCAGTCAGACAAACTGTTATAAAGCTGACGGCAGGAACGCCACCAACATCGGTTTGTACAGCGAAACGAGGGCTGTTGCCTGGGGTTTGTACAATCTGGGATTAAGTCAAGTGTTGTGGGCGATGACCAGCGTAGATTAAAGCGTGCGACCACATGTTTTGCATGACGTTACATGGTGATGATTGTACCTATAAGCTTTGTTGAATTTATCATCACCTATCGCGTTCACCTTGAGCAAATCCATAGGGCTGGCAAAGCGTGATGCACATTCACCGTGCTGTACACGTGTAAAGGGGCCTAAATAATCACATTGGTGCCAGACCTCACGCTTCCTGTTACACGGTTCCAAGTGGTTAGAGCGCGAATTTACTGACCGGAAGTTCCGTGGTTCGAACCCGACCTCTGCCTCTCGACTTCCCCTGTCTAGGCTTGGGCAACCTGACAGTTTTACAGCCCTCGTGCTTCGTTCGGGTGGCGTAGCAGCTAGACACCAAAAGGGCGTCACAAATGAACGATGATTATTATTTATTACACGGTTCCATCCCGTCAAAAACTCCTCAAACTATTTAACAACCATTCCTGTATCTGCGAGCTGCTCCTCTCGTGAGTCTGTTACTACTCCATATTGATGATCAGAAGTGGACTGTGTGCAAATTCCAATGGAAGCTGGGCAGTCCTACGATCTGAAGCAAATGCGCTTCGAACTCTGGATATTCCGAAGGTCCGGAAAATGGCATTGGCCAATAGGTGATATTTATTCTAACTCCACTGGTCCGTATAGTTTTAAAGCTTATTGTGCGAAGTATTAATGTCGATGTCAGGATGTTCGAAGCTACCATCAGTGCGTCGCTTACGACAGTGTTTGAGTCTCTGAAGCTTTCTATTTTTTGAAATATTTTGTTTTTCGCCGGCATTCTTGTTTTCTTCGGCATTTTTTCAGATTCGGATTCATAAACAGATGTGATTCTCACTAATCCACACGATGGCTAACAGTGCTTTCGGTCCAGTGGTCGGGCCAACAGCGTTCCCGGTATCCAACATCGGTCCTCATCCCACACGGGACGAACAGGCCCTTGGACTTAAGGTCATTTATAATGTCTGTCGGAACCTTTATCCGGATCAACCTACGCCTCTGCAAGTCACCGCATTGCGGAAATTTTGGATGGGTGGACCGGACCCTTTGGATTTTATCAATATGTATTCCAATCCGGGCTCCACCGAGCTTCGTAGCCCACCTCACTGGCATTATGTTTCCAATGGACTTTCAGATCTGTATGGCGATTCCCGGTTACACAAGTGAGATCCATGGTATCTTCATACCAAAATATGTTTGTTGTTCCATGGCATTCTCAACGATACTTTATGTTGTTCTAGGCTTTATCCATCAGTTCAAATACCTGCCTAATGAAATTTGAGGAGACATCTCATGATAAAACCTTTTGTGTGTTAATTATCATCGACTGCACTACGTCAGTTATTCATATCTGAACCGAACATCTTGACTGTTCAAAATTCACTTAAGTAGCCACCTTCGCAAAATTAAAAAATGCTACCCAATTGAACGAATCATTTCTTGATATTCTTGAATAGCTAATTTACTGTCTCGCACGTTTTCGCACGTCATGTGGTGTCCATGCAACGTCTGCACATTCCATGTTCAGTCAAGAACGTTCAATTGGGGTCACTCAATTCCTATACTCAAGTGACACTGTCCAAACCACAGAGGCATGAACCTTACGACTTTCATAGCACGTAGGCTGATTACAAAAATACTGTGACACCTAACCTCGACATGCAAGACAAATCCCAAAGGCATCAAACATTTTTGGTTCCGTGTAGGCTTACCACATCTGTAGATCAAGTGAAGTGCTTAAGCAGCGATGCTCACCGGTGAAACTCGCGGGTTTTCCCGGCTTTACACGAGACTGGCTACTTAGGTTACTTCTACTACGTCAACTTGGCCGGAGAGGAATGCACTTGAAGTTCGTAATTATACTTAGGGTACTTAATGATGTAGGAGTTCACAGCAGACTGTCCCGAATTTCTCCAGGGTTGCATCTTCGGATTCCTCCATAGTTTTGCAGTGCACACTTCAACAGAACGGAAATCACACTTGGTGAGAGACCACGACTTGGCTATTCGGTCAGTACACATAGTTAACCGTGATCCCTTCCTTTTACATTCATTTTTCAGTTCTAAAGTGCATTCACTCTGTGATTCCCAATCTCCCTACCCCCATGTCTTTCTGTATTTTCAAGAGGAGGAAATTGAGTTTGTCTACGTGTGCAAATATTTTAACGGCCACACGATCCATGAGCGTACTGTGACAAACTGAGTGCACCATCAAGGTGTGAGCATCAGTTCCTAACTTCGTCTCTACTGCCAGGAGCAAATTTCGTTGAAGATAGTGTCCGTGTATACAAGGCAGCTGTTCAAGTAGAAAAAATGATGGAAACTAATGAACGACGCCTGCCTAATGGGCCTTTAGAAAGGTGGAACCGGTTGTGAGCTGCCGAAACATTTCCAGAAACTTACTGACGAATGCTTCACTATGTACTCAGGTAACTGATGCTCTCCAGCGCAGCCAGTAAACCCAATCATTCGAAGATAGATGGGACCCCCTACTGCGCATGCCGAATCACAAAACGTGCTGTTTTCCATGTTCTCTGACGGTTCTGCCAGAAACGCAGGAGGCGAGCGTCGTTGGATTCCCATCTCTTTCAGGCTGTGGTTCACGGGATCCTTTTTTGCATTGTTTGCTATGGCATGTAGCCGATTTTACTGGCGAGCGCTCGTAATAGTTTTTTAACCCGAGTTTCCAGAGCAATTTTGTTTTCTCTGTATGTTTGTGTTGAGCGAGGCTAGCAAAGGGTGTTGGATAAATCCCACTGACGGCGTCCTAATCGGACGTCTTACTCATGTCGGTTTGTTTTAATGCACTTCTAGGTTGTACGCAACTCATTCATGATCGTTCTCTTTCTTTCCCTTACCCCTCATGGTTGTGTGACAGATCAATCTTTACTACTGTGGTGGAATCGCGTTCGGGTGGAGCCTTAATTGATATATGCATTTCTCTTCCTGTTACGCAACTACGATACCTTTCATAGTGTAAAAGTACACCTTAGCTGTGGAATGCACCGTACGGAAATCCATTCGGTACAAGCCGCCACACGATTGGATCTTGCCTCTATCGTAACGCGTCAAGCTGTGTTTGGAACGCTCTTGTGGACTCGTCACTATAGTGATCCCTGTTTTGAGGGGTCTCCTCTCAGTAGTTAATGCGATTCGCACTCCTGTTTGAGAAAAATTACCTGTTTCTTATTTGCCCAGTCCGTACGAAAAAATCAACAGTTTCTTCACATAGTCACTGTCCGGTGGCATATTAGTTGTTCATATTCTTTTTAACCTTATTTTTGTTTGCTCCCACATCCGTACATAGTCAGTGCGCCTCTGTGGACGAACCGAGTGGCTTTGGTTTCGAACTTACTCTGCGTATCCGACGGGAACCCACGGAGACACACCCACCTACTTGGCCCGCACATCTGTTGCAAAGCCTTGCTCGTTATGTGTTTCATTCACAAGCGCAACTCATGGTTGGAGATCACATCCCCTGGCCGTCGGCCTTAGATAAGCAACCTTACTCACCATCACCACAACAAGAACAAATAGATGGATCAGTGCACGACAACAGATCGACTCAAAAGCCGACCGAAGCAGACGCCCATTCAATTGCGGTTGCAGCCGCTGCCACTGCAGCTTCAATTCTCGCCACGAACGGTACCAAATCGGGTGAACCACGGATGGCTGCGCTCGCAAATCCGAATATATACGCCTCTATGGTTGCTGCTGCTTTGGCTGCTGTGCAGTCGACAACGAACAGCCAGGCCCGATCTCAATCTGGCTGTAAAACAGAACCGAAAGCCGGAAGGGTGGCAGGCGAATCTCGAATTCACCATATGCTGGTCGTAGAGGATCCACAGCTGAAGAGGATTTCGACACCTTATGGTTATGTGCAGTTCTTGCAGGTGGGTTTACTTCCTAGTACTTGTTGCCATCCTTCGATTTGTGACAAATTCTCCTTGTTTTAGCGTAGTGTGTCTTCACTTAATTGATATCAGTACAGAACTGTAATTGGTTGAACCTGTTTTTTGTGGTGGTTTTCGAAGAGTCGTTCTTGCATGGTACTGATATTTCACTGTTTGTTCGAAACGGATATTTGCATGAAACAACAGCAGCAGTCAGGCTGTGCTGGACTAAGCAAGTACAAGAAGCTAAAATCAAATCAAATGTGAAGATTTGGGCTGATGACTAACAAAGACGGTGGGGTACTGTTCGTCAAGTATCTTGTTGCGACGCGATGGGTCCTGAAGTCTTGGCTTTCATGGTTCCAAAAATGGATAAAACTCTGGAATTGTCAACTACCAAACAACTAAAACCGCAGTATTCTTTGGAACTGGTTTATACTCCTACATGCTGTGGCTGCTGGAAAGTCAATAAGATTACCTTAAAGTTCAGTCAGTATGTATAGTTCACATGTGTCCTTCCAGACCCACTACAACCATATCTGAGCAATATTTCAAAAGCTACTCCATATCACTTCATCTGAAAGACGTCTTCACTCCTTTTTTCACGGTACTTGCAATATATTTTACTCCCTCAACGTTTATTAGGAGCACGCTCCCTCATCACATCCACTAATGCAATTCTCGGACCTTTGCTCTTTGTACGCACACCTTTTGCGCACCCACCCTCTCTTCGGCAGATCAGGTCCAATGGGTGTACTGCTTGCGCTTTTCCCCGTATCCTTATTCTTTCCCAGGTTATCAAAACCGGTGGTCTGGTGTGTGCGGAGATCTCACTAATGCACTCATGTTCCATGTAATCATCAAACATTACTGTGCCTCCGCTTTCAACTTTTTCCAAGCTGTCGTAAGGACCTAATTCTCCCCACTACACAGAAAACAATAGTGATTCAGGCTCCCCCAAATGACAGCAATCACTGTTTGTTCAGATGAGCCCAACTCATGATTTCTTGTTACGATCGTCCCAGCGTTAGTACACTTTTGAGCAATACTAGTTCTAAAGCAGCCGACTTTTTCCGCATATAACAGACAACTAACAGTTCATTTCACGATTGTGCCCGGTCAAACCCGACAGGTCCCAAATGATTTTTTCCAACTCCATGCTCCAAGCGGCATTAGCTGTGGTCCGATTTTGAACTGTTTGTATTGAAGGCATGAGCTACGTAATCGGGGTGAATTGATTTCGAACTTTTTTGCGCTTTGTGACTGAAAATCCGCCATACACTAAATCGTTCACCCTAGTCCAGATCTGGATGGGAAGTAGTCCTTGTTAATTGGTAACCATTGCCAATCTAGCGGAGTATAAAGTTATCTCCGAGGCATAGTGGTTTCGTTATCTCTTGGTCTGTCCCGCTGCGATACCGCGCACGACCAACGACATCCAATCTTGCAGAGGCATACAGGTCGTTCCCGAATGTGATGCCTAATTTTTGTCTGCATGTACTAGTGATGCTCGCGTTTATTTTTCCAATCCATGTGGTCAATCAGCCTTGGATACGACGGGTCAAATTTCCGTGGCGTTCGGGCTATCAGTTTTTCGTTCGATTCCGTTGAACTCAAATCAACGCTAAACGGACGTGTGGTTTTCGTCTCATTGACCACATTCATTGTTTTATGCCATTGTTAATCTCTGTACCTGTCAGGTATTCTTAGTTTGAACGATCCGTTCTGTAGGTCTCCAATGGTCATTAACAAAAGCACTTTTTTCAAAGTCCTTTAATGGTTTGGCTCTGGTAGTTACTTTTGTGGTAGGAATATCATAAAAGGATGTTTGCACACCAGTTTGGTTTTCACGGGATACTCACCTGGAGCCCAGCTTAATCTCTCGTTCATGATGTTTTTAAGCAACTGAATGTGCTGCACCAGGCTGCCTCATGTTTCATTTGGTACGATATTCGAGATATCGCGATACATGTGTAGACGTAATACACTACCCATAAAGTTACTGAAAACTATTCAGCAGCCCACGGCCGGTTCCGCCCTTCGTGGTGCTCACCAGGTAGGTAGTCCTCGAGTTTCCCACAACCCTATGTTCTACTTGAACTTGCGTCGAAGCATCATAGACGAGAGATTCAGCTGGGTTCCAGGTGGGCCTCCCATCAAGACTGAATCGGTATGCAAATGAGTGTATTTTGCCAATTTCGTGCTGTTTGGGCTCAAGTAGAACATAAGATTAACGGGAACTTAGGGACTGCGCCTACTTGATGAGTCCCAAGAAGGATGAAGCCGGTCATGGGCTGTGGAATTTGTCAGCAACCTGGTGAGTAGTTTATTGCGTCTATCCTATCTAATAATTATGTCCGATTTTTTCCTTTGTCGCTGCTGGATCCTTTGAAATAAAATTACGGAAACGCCAGTATCTGAAGCCAAGTTCTGATCCGTAATCGCTGACTTTGGACCAACATCCGATTAGAATGCCGCAACAGTACTTACAGCTTAGTTAAGACACATCTTTACGGGAGATAACCATATCATTATTGATAACGGAAACGAATCCACCGTCTGCAATTCGACCCTCAGTGAAATGATATCATGGGATCGAATGTTCTTTTCAGTCTTGGATGTTTCGAGGTGTTCTTTGAAATTTCCTCTGTCCTTTCACAGTAGGGGTTCAAGAATTTGCTTTTGGATTTTTTCTTCGTTTGCTTAGTGGCCTCCACATCCTTCTTGAAAGGTGGCTTAGGGAAGCGGTGGTATTCAAAGCTGATATCGAATGTCATAACATCATGTTGCATCTGCGACATGTTTTATTTCGAGAGATAGTAAATACGCCGCCCTGTGTTTTAGTGTCTCCATAGTGCTGATTTGAGCACCCACTGAATTTCACACCTTTGTAAGAAACAGTGATATTTTCTCCGAGGTTTGGTAGACCATCGCTGGATATACCGCTGCACAACACTTTATGTGTGACACAAGCTACCAGACTGGCCGAGTTTTAAGGCAATGGGAAAAACTGTCAGGGAGATGTTTTACCGAAGGCTGACCAAATCAGTGTTTAATGTTGGTCAGAAGTTCTTTCTTTTTGGTTAATGTGGATGCCCAACACTTACGTCAAGTGGGTCTTGATGTTGATGTTACCCGACTTAATTAAAATCACTAGCACTATCCTTTCTTGGAGTCTTTTTATAATTCATTTTGTGCGGCTGTTCAGTTGAATTCCCCTGTGCACAGCGCTCCTACCTAGCTGCACGTTGCTGAAAATATACTACCGTATGCCAGTTTCTGACGTGAGTGCTTCGTGATTATACAAATGTCCACTGGTTTCTGCTAAACAGCGTTTTTTTTATTTTTTCACCACTTTTCTATCGTGCATTGTAGGAAAGGCGGCGTACTCGAAGTGGACCTTGCCTCCATTCTGAACTTACTGTGGGGTTTTAAAATGCTAAGATATTGGTAGAGTTCACTTACATTATCTTGTTTCATCACAATGAACGTGTCAACTACGCGCCACCAAAGAACCTATCGTTGGACGCTCGAATCTGACTAAATCTTTCTGTGCAATCTCCTCGTACATATTAGTCGAAGTCGGGGATGCTGGAGATCCCGTCGCCAGACAGTGTTCTTGACAGTGACAAAACTCACTGACAGCTGAGTAAAAAAGCAAACCGATCTAAGACATAAGGTCCAGACAGGTTCAAATTCACTTGATCTCCCGAACCCCCATCCGGTTATTTTTGCACCCTGTAAGTCGTATAGATCAACAAAATTTGTAGGCGACACTCGAAAGGAATATTCCACGAACTGCTCTAAATTGGAGAAGCTTTATTGTATCTACAGTCGACTTCCAATAGCAACTCCTTTATGGTTGATGTCAAGCACTGCCGCTATCCTAGAAGACGCATGCCATACCATAGTTTATCACCGCGTTGAATGCAATCGAAGTGAACGGTCTCACCCATGAGGCACAGTTTTTGTTGTTTGTACAGGAGAATCGATCTCTCATTGAGTGGCAAATAAACCATTTCAGCTTCCGTAAGTTTGGTCACCTTTTTGCGTGCCAAAATATCGTCCCCATACATTAGAGCCCTTCGCTTTTACGTAGGGACTTTGCAGACCGTAGCTTCAGAAAATGCATCGCAATTTGCAGTTCTTTCGTTGGATGCTGGTAGATGTTCTTCTCACAAATTCCCGTAGATCTTATCCAGCAACCAGTTGGGAAGACCCCTGTGATTTTGAAATAGGCTTTGGTAGGCCGTTTTGGTTTTATATCAGAAACACGTCATCCATTCGCACTTTCTGGGCTCTACTTTGCGGAAACAGGATGTCTGGTGCTTTCTACACTGAACTGTGCGTTCTGCACACCATTTATTCTCTTTTTTTTCATGCAGCTTGTAGGCCTGTGTGAAGAGGAACTCCGTCTTGTTCAGCGATGGACTGGGAGCCGTGTCATCGATATCATGCGTCGTTTGCCGGAGACTGGAGGTGGCCTACTTGTAACCGACATGAAAAGAAAGCTTAGTTTATTTGAGCTAGAACCAAAATTGGCAGATTACGTCAATGAACAGTTGAGAATCGAGGGTTCCAATCTGTCTGGTGTAACCACTCAATATTTCGCGTGGGCTCCCGTTTCTCTATCCACTCTCGGTGAACTCTTACCCGGAGAACTTGAAGCGCGACGCCTTCGTCATCCAGAACGTGATCAAGTCTCGTCCAAACCTTACTCTTCTTCAGTGGGTGGATCCCAAGCTGTCGGTCCGACCGTTGCATCGGGTAGTGAACAACTTGATGCGACATCAGCGCCCACAGACCTTAGTGTATCCCGCCTGATTAATTCGGACCAGAAGGCTCGTCTGTCTCCAGGTCCAGTAGCAATGGAGACTGAAGACACTGTTGTATCATCTTCAACGAAGAAAGATATGGATGAGGATGATTTTGTGGACGTTGTTGGAGACTCCGGGCCGTCCTCTCTGGTTAATGCAAAGGTGGCTGCAACGATAAACGAGATGGATGCGTGCGATACACCAAAATCTCTGATCAACGACGTTACTTCGCTCCCAACTTCGTCTGTCCAATCGTGCTCAACGCAGTCAACCAGTGCTCCTGGAACCTTCTCCGCCTGGTGCGCTCGCATACCGTCTAGTGCCACTACTGAGAATTCAAGTAAGTAATTTTCGTGTGACTGCGTCTAGGTAATGAGGAAAAGTTCCACAAAAGTTACGATTTGTCGGAATTTCGTCACCTGCGTGCGTAGGAAGCTGAGAGATTTCCACAACAGAATGCCTAGCAATAGGCTAAAATTGTAAGACAAGTTAATGTATCAAATACTTGTCGAGTATTGATGAAAACGTCGAATAATGGACGTAAAGCAGTTAATCTACGGTTGGACGTTTTCTGAAGGACGTACTTGATTTCACCAGTTGTGGCATCGCTTCCGCAACAAAAAATGCTAGACCATGAGTGTTCGTGATCACCGTCCGACCAATCGATTTTAGCGAACAAAGGGCAATTTTGATCGATTGATTGATGTGACTGATTCGATTTTAATCTGGAACACGAGTTTGATGATGAACTTCCGTATGCTATGTAATATGGACAATTCTCAAAGAACACAGAATCGAAGATTCCCTCGGTCCACACGAAAAAGGACTACAAATTCAGCATAGCTGAAGTTCCCATGTACAAAATATTCTGTCTGCTGGTGCTCCTCAGTATTAACAACTTCCGTCGTTGGCCTTAAAGCTTGGATGTCTCAAGCCCCGCAGTTATAGCTCTATGGGTTGCGAAGGCACACAAACCGTTACATCGCGGTAAGCTCCGGTCTTTTTTAGCGGATCGGTAATACTGCACGGTCAATAAGCCGTCGCGACCCCAACATCGTGGAAACCTTATTTTCATTTGAGCCACACATGTGGCGAGGTATAATAATGGATGTTAATTCACGTGCGATATAGGAAATGAAAACTATCATTGAAAAGTCGTATGAGCACCACGAACTGACGGTCTCTTCGACCGTGACTTAAATGTTTTACCATTTTTTTCACTAGTGGACCTGCGTTTTGGATCTACCAATGCAGGTATTTCACACACATTTTCAGCTCTTTATCTATCTAGCAAATACTAATAACGTATCGTTGTACGAATACATAGGTGACATCTTGTTTCTGTGGGATCTCGGCAAGAATCACGAAAATAACGCTTACGCGGAATTCATGTCCACATTCTTTTCATGTAATGAGCTTTCTGTCCCATTTAAAGGAATGGAGTCTACGGCCATAAATTAGTCTAGTCTTGCTCGAAATCGGAACTGCATTTCTGATTCACTTTACTTTTCGCCGAAGTCCTCTACTATTGATGGTACTTGTTCTCTACGCTTTTTATTTGTGGTGTTATGTTCCCCACAGAAGTTTCGAATACCGCATTGACTCCTTCCGATATCATTGGTCTCCTCCCCGAAACATCGCATGGACCTTCGGACCTTATCTCACCACTTACTGGCCCACTTGGATTCCGTACGTTTGGTAACCCTAACCCAGTGTGTTCCGTCAACAATGGACCACGTGGCGGATCACATGACCAACGAGGCGCGCACACACCTGGAAGCACTGGTGAAGGTTCAGCTCCTTGTACACCTCTAGCCCATTTGTCACTCTCTCCGGCCAGTCTTGAACTTCTTCCCACTCGAATCATTGATTGTCTGGATGTGCATTTGTGTCGAGAAGCTGGCGAAATGCTCCCCTTAGCAGTAAATGATCGGCTGAGACACGGAAAGCATTTCACCTTTCTCAACTCCCACTTTCCTGACCACGCCATCACGTTAGTTCCTAGTGGAGTCACGGGTGCCTTCGTTACGGAAGAGAATCCTTACGTGGCTAGAGGACCTTGGCTCCAGGTAGGTACCTTGTCAAAACGTGGTTTTTCGTACGAGTTTATTTGTATCGAGTTCAATGAATACCTCAATGCGGTCTGGAACACAACATTGAACTGTACATCGGCTTGTCTGCTTGGCGCCATGCTAAGTGCAATCATTTCTCGGAAAGGCGACCGCAGTAACGAAAACCAATTCTGTCGTTCATTGTGAGTGACTGCTAAACTTTCTGTCGACTGTTTGGAAGATAAGACTGGACTCGTTCGGCAATTAATATGATTGATGAAACCAAGATGCGAACATCTGGCTCCTCTATTACAGAGTTCCCCAGTGTACGTAAAAATTCGCCAGTTTGCGATAAACTCAGTCTGTCTTGTAGTCTAGCCATAGTGCGTTAGGTTGAAGAGCTTTTGACCCAACAAAGCCCGGATCTGTCCGGAAGCTGATATCTTAAGTTGATGACTGAGAAACTAACACACTTGCTGTCATACAAAGCGATACGGATCTCACACGGACGGCTTTCACACTAATGGATCACGAATTGGCTGGGAAACAGTACAGGTCTCTCAGCAATATAAGTGTTAGGGTTAATCTTGGCTATTAATTCCAATCAGGTGATCAGATTTAGCTGTGGCCAGCTTCCCATCTCCTGATGACTGTTCCTGAGAGGATGCTATCCCGTGTGAATTTTTGCCTGTCGTATTTGGTTACTTACGACTCAGAGGACGCCTCAACAGGTCGTTGTCGTTGCGTCTACGTAACACTAGAACCAGTGGCTGTTCGCGTCCGTTTGGATTTTTCAGCGTAGTTTCCTATTTCCCTCGTGGAATTTGTGGGCATTTGATAGTCTAACCTCTGAACTCAAACGAAACCATATCCATGCCTATTCAGGTTGTGGATTGGCGAGTGATATCCGGAGTGCCAAAGGGACTAAGAGGCAACACTTAATAATGTACAGCGTATTGCTATGAGGAATTGATGATGGGTATGGAATGATTGTTAGTGGTCCATTTTAAGTTCCACTCACCGGGCAGAGGCACACTAGGATTCAGAGATCCCTTGTAAGTAAAATTGAGACAGAGTTTGACGTAGGTTTACTCTCTGTCTTCTAACGTTCGTTACATTTAGTGAAACCTGTTCGTGGCCTACGTCAAATTGTTTTAAATATTTTGTAACGGCGACCCCACCATCAGGATGCTTTCACTTAGGGTCCGAAAGCCCGCAAAACATCAAGAAGATGCTCACATTACCCCAAGGTGAGAAGCGCTATTCCTGATGCGAATGTTCCATGCTCGTCCTCGGGTGTCTTTGATGCCTACACCTATGAGAGGAGCAACACTGAATTCGCGTCCGATTCATATCACTAAACACTCATATATCCCGGCCCTGAGGCCCTCCGTGATGACCAACCATCTGATTATCTTTACCTCATCCGGCCGACTGTTTTCGTGTTATGACCACAGTTTGGACTATCATCGTTCCGAGCAGCACCACTCACGAAACAAACTATGTTTTTTCTCCCTGAGAGAATGCCTCTGATAGCGAAGGCCTTTCGGTCCCAGGATTGTTTGCGATACGAGAGGCAGTGCCCCCCCCCCCCAAATAGATGCTTCTTGCAACGTGCGGCTCGCTAGCCTTTACCAACTAGTCCATAAACCCGACACTTCTAAGATGAGTTTCTCAGGGGTCCCTTATGACACATAGCGCTACTGCTTGGGATAGTCATTTAGACTTAGTTATGGTAAGGATTTTCACGGTTGTTTGTGAGCTTGCACAACTGAGTAGCTCTTATGACCGAACAGCAAATAGGAGATTCTCTAATAGTTGCTCAGGGTTGGAATGTATTGGCTCTTGAACAAAAATCCAGAGTTTTGCTCCCTATTCCTTCAGATACTCTTCCCAGAGGACTTCTTGGAGAGCTTGGAATTCCAATTCCCTGTCTGCATAGTTGCTCAGGGTTGGAATGTATTGGCTCTTGAACAAAAATCCAGAGTTTTGCTCCCTATTCCTTCAGATACTCTTCCCAGAGGACTTCTTGGAGAGCTTGGAATTCCAATTCACCTGTCTGCAGCGCACGGACGATTTGGCTCTCCCGATAGTTTTTCGTTGGCCCGAGCGCAGGTTGCGTATCTGTTTGGTGGAACCTTCACCAGCGTTGAATTCGTGTTTGGTCAATCAGAATGCATCATACAACCTACCGACTCCAAGATCCTTGCTACCGAAAGCGGTCACAATGAACTCACCAGATGGAAACCGGAATTGGAGAAATTTGAACTCACCTTCAAATAAACCCGATGTGAACGTTCCGCCTTCAGCAGTTAGAAGCCCAAGAAGCTTTTCCATCCCAAGACCAGACCATCCTCCACAACCCAGACCAGAGGACCATGTCGCGCCATCACACTTGCTACCCTATTTCCCTCCCGGTTGCGTTCCTCCTCCCGCGATGCTAGCTGCCATGTTCAGCACAAGTTCACCTATGCACTTTCAGGGGTCACCCCACCCACCATCAGGAATTGGTTCTCAGCCTCAAGCTGACCGTTCGCTCATTGGGCCGAATCAAACGGTGTTTGACGCCAAGTCGAACTGGATGCAGTTCTTCAATAGTTTTATGAACAAACGAGAAACAACAAGTGGCGCCGTTTCACCACCATTTATTGCCATATCCGAAGCAATGAATGCAGCGATGGGTGCAATGCAACACCCTGGACCACGCTACAATCCATCGGTTGCTCGAGCGGGGAACCGCCCAACTACACCACGCTCACACGAGCCTGAACCTCCCGCATGATCGTTCCAGTCGTTTTTTCTAACACACCAATAGTCTTGTTAACCACAGCCCAGCAATTATGTGTCAATTACCCGCACAAGCGCCTTTGCATTTCTTTACTTTGAACGCACTCTGACTCAAGACTCGCTGCTCCATCTTCTCAAATGATATTTCAGTTTGTGTCTTAGTGATGCTTTGTATTTTCGTGTCTCTGTTTTCCACGGTTGAACGGGGCTATGCACACCCTGACGATGTTACTACATTAATATTAACTTCGGTTCAAACTTTCCGTGGAGTTTTGCATCTGTGATTTGAAAGGTAAAGCTGCGTTAAGGTCGATGCACTGAGTAACGGGTCATTCAATGATCATGGCGCGTCTGGTCTGGAGTATTATTCGTTGGTTTTCAGTTTAGCGAACTGATCAGGAGTACGCGGTCATATACAGAGTTGACGTTTTCTTTGGAATATACACACGTTTACTGAGAGCTCGAACTGTTATGTTCACCGCGGACTCTCCGCTGATAAAGACAAAATACCGAACAAGGGCTACTCAGTGTACTTTCAACTCTCGCTATTGTGCATAGGAAACGCCTGTGTACGACTTCTATTCAGAGAACAACAATCAGTGAAAATGGTATGGACCAGCTACGTTGGTGGTGCATCAGGGTGGTTTCCCGCTTATCTTACCTACGCCGTTGGGTTTCAATGATATCCGGTAATGAGGATTGACCTGATTGAACCATAGAACTACATTTTATGTATGTACGTGTTCTGCTGGCTTTGGTCAACTCGAATAATGGGGTCGCAGTGATGTCGAATCAGCCATCGCATCTAACTGATGACAGCTCGACATTATTAATTAGCTCTGCTCCCGGGTGTGCGGAGCGTGATATTTCAGGGGCGAAGCACATGAGCGATAAGTGAAAATCGATAACCGGCTTACTACCAACACACGTTGAGAGTGCGCGTGATCTAGGACTGTCCCGTCTAGTGCCAGTGTAGGTTGTTAAGTTGTCACGAAGCAAATTCGCAAGTGATACTCAGACACGAGCGGATTCCAGAGGTACGGGTCGTCGTCTTCGTCTTGGAGCAGTAATGCTTTTCTAGTAATTGAATTGAGGGCTAAGGGAGTGTTATAAAGACTACGAATCGGCATTATTAGTCCATTGTAAAGGGAACATCATACCTTGAAGCATATGACTGAAGTTATTGGGTCGTTGCACTCACCTTTATCACGCGTAGCCGATAGTTTTGATACTATGACCCAGCAATGTCTAGTAAACCCATTGATGCTTATCGCTACTTTCGTCCCAAGCCCACCCTGCGCCCAACATATCGATGCTAGATTATAAGTAGGTTGTTGGTCTGTTTCGCAGGCCCACGGAAGGATCTGTTAAAACTTCGAAAATACTTTTTATGTGTTATATGTCTAACACTTCTCCACGATGAACCAAGCATTTATGTAGTCCATAGCTCAACCGATTGTCAGTGGATTACTGCACGCCGAGGCTGACATCATTGATTCTGCTTCGTCCCGTATCGCGAGATATTGTTGAAAGCACATCTTGGTGATCATTGGAAGATTGCACCTTCGAAGACAAGATGGACACAATATCATTAAGTTGTGGAGTAAGTGGAACTATCCACTAACTCAGAGAAATAGAGTTTACTGCGGTAAAAAGCCGCATTGCTAGCCTAAACAACTCCATTTGCATGAGTGGTACCTCCACTAAACTACACTGGTAAGGGCTCACTTAACACTGTTCCGACGAGTAAAACAATTACAGATAAAGTCAATACCGTAAAAATCCATATCCAGTATCAAAATGAACATGCGAACTTTTAATGGGAGGGCATACGAACCATTGTCTGGCTGACCGTCCAGTCAGTGGTGGTATATGTTATCACAGGGTGAGAAATTATAAATGCGCGTGACAAAACGAGCGAAATCCATCATTCGATTTCGGAAAAAAAATCGCCTGACAAGTGTTAGTCTGGTGGTTCAAGCACCCGAATCAGTAAGAGGACTTGAAGGCGCGTCATCAAGTGCATAGTAGAGATCGAGACAGGGGGACTGTGGTTGTTGTCCGCGGTTGAGTTCTTCGATGGACATGTGAGATCCTAGGCGCGTGTAGGTATTGGTAGCCTCGTTGTAAGTGTACAAGGCGAAGTTGACGCGGTCGTCTAGGAAAAAAACAAGTGGGACTCAGAGAGTGAGCATCAAACTCTATTGAAAATGTTAGTCAACTAAATGGACTCTAGAGCAGCAAGTAAAGATAAACTCGGGGAGGATTGAAATTCTAGTACAGGTCGAGCAACACAAATAAAACGTCCTCCAGGATTCGCGGGAAGGAGACGAGCTTTTGTGGGAGTGGTACACGCTTCCACGCATGGACCCAAAGGTAACGCGAACCTTCCGGTTAGTAAGTTCTCACCCTAACCACTGAGCTACCTCGAGCTCGATGCCATGGAAATCAGGAATGACCACGTGTAACCCACAGGTAAGAGAGTTAGTTGTCTATCAAGTTATCTATGGGTTCGGTCCAAACCGTAACGTTACACAAACCGGTGTGACCCTGGTGGACGCAACTACATACGCGTGCGTTCTGGAGGCTCGACAACAAGCAACAGTTGGAAACTCTCAATTACAGAGTAAAATGAACAGGAATTCAGCTATAACACCATTTCGGTACCGGAATGCCATGCCATCCAAAGTAAGCATGAATACTGAGATACTGAGTTTGGGTTCGAACCGCGGATTTTCCGGTCGGTGGGTTCGCGCCTTAACCACTAAGCCACTTTGAGCTCGTTGAGGACGTGTCAGTGTTAGCATGATCGCGTCCTGTGTAAGTCCTACCAATCTGAGAAGCAAATGGCAAGAGAATGAGCTAGGAGCTGCTGGAGTCCAAGAAAGTGTCTAATATTTCTCCGATGGTCCTATTGAACTATCTCGAGTTCAATAGCAGAAAAGCATCGGGCACACGAATGAAAATACAAAGCACCGCCGAGAGCAACCAACTGGATATCCATTTGGAAAAATGTCAAACTCATGTTCTGGACGTGGCAAGATCAGTTAGGTGACAGCTTTCACTGGAAAACATAAACAACCTTTGACCATATTCGGAAACATCGTCTATATCAATTGAGACTGTTTATCGCTTTGTCAATACGATGAAGTTACCAGCGGCTGTGTGCCATCGCGGCGAACAATGGAAACTCTACGAAAGCGTCACATTACTGATCCTGTTAAGTCAGCTTGATCGGCCCCAAGAGTGAAACACGTTAGATCGATTTTTCAAAATCAACTGCTTCAATGAGTGCAACCTACTTTCACGCAAAAAAAGTTCGGCGTGTACCAGACTCTCCATTTGGGTATCAGTCAGAGACGCTTGATTAATTACACGCAGCTGCGTCTTCTTATGAATCTGCCGCACCTACCACACCTCATTAGCGCCGATCCGAAAAGGCTTTTGAAGACGCTGCGCACGTAGCTCACAACTATGGGGTCAAACAAGCATGGCTACCCTCATGTCGTAAACAGTGTAAGCAGGCAATATGTTGCCATTTCTGCCCAAAGAATATCCTCTGTCCGTTCGTGAGATCCCCCATAAGTACCGCTGCTCCTTAGTAGGTGAATTATGCGAGAAACGCCTTGCAAGATGGACCGACCAAGCACCTACTCCCATCTGTTCGATCGAAGTTATCCGAACGTTGGTAAGTACCAGATGTCGCTGAAGTCGGCACACGGGGCTCGCGATTTTGTGTCCTGAGACAAGGATGCAGAACGTATGCGTTTGCCCGAAAAGGAGACGGCTGATTGAGATCTTTACAGGTTTATGCCTGCGAAATTTTTTCATTGGTCATACTTCTGTAAGCAGTTATCCCAGTCGCTTCGAACTCAGTAAGTTCTTTCGAATAACAATCGTATGTAGAAAAAGGAAGAACACTTACCAGTAAGCTCGCGATGCAGTCGCTGCAGGTTCACACGGACTGTTAGATAACGGCACAGGTGATCCACTGAAGAGGAAATGAAGTCTTATACTATCGAAGTTACGAAATAAAACAGAAGACAAAAAACTTACAGTTCGCTTGTGATTTACATGTCAGATTAAAAACAAAACGGTTAAGTGCCCGCAAACAGGAATCAAGTAATCACCTGTTGTGATGGTAGGCGCTTTCAGGTATTTTACAGGCCCAATGCTCGTACCAGCCCCATCTCCATTCGACGAAGTATGGCGCGTGGTAGCGGGAGCTGAGGGGCTAGACGGCCGACCTATTGTTCCTCCGGCAAAATACAAAGGATGCGGTTTCAAAAGGAGTTCGATCTCCGGGAACACGGCAGGGGACGATGTGGAATTTACACCGATCACATTACCAGTGACGTTCTGATTGGAAGAGCCTACGGATGCAGGATCAACCAAACCAAGTGCGGACGTGATTGGAACTCGGATGGGAAGGTCTGACGCCGAAAGAGTACTGGCTCCACCGACCGAGTTGGTTTCCACGCCGCTCTCGGTATCCGAATTGGCGTGCGATACTCGGCGCTAAAATTTCAAAAAGCGGTAAATATGAGTTCCTGTTGCGTCCCATCAAACATAAATCTAGTCAGTACATGGAAAGGAAAATTGTGGAGTTGGTACAGGGTCATTGATTCGTGACTGGATAGCAAAAGCGGGACGAACAATTAAAAAAGGTGAGTCAAAGGCACCTAGGATATGAGCTAACCAGTACCATTACATCAGACCGCAAATTGGCATCCCTTGGGTTCTACAGAAGATACAAGACAGTTCGTTTTACCATCGGATAAGGGATATCAGGAACTCTAGTCAACAACTAAATTGGAAGCGGCATCCTTGTTAAACAACGGTGCAAATCAGCGTACATTCCAGAGAAGCTACACATCTAAACATGCTAAGAGACAATAAGGAGAGCAAACCAAAGCCAGGCCACAAAAGAGTAACCAGATCCAGACAGTAAACAAAGACGGTAAGAAAGCATCTTTAGTCTCCATAGACCTCATAATCAGCACCTTCAGACCGGTTCATTATCGGTGTGTATGCTTGTAGTGTCCTCAGTCGTTGTCGGAAAAGTCCCTTCAGGATGATGATAATAACAGCACAGGAAATTCAAAGGACTTCTAGATATTGATTGCTGATACAATATTAGAATCGTCGGTCGTTCGTTGGCCTAGACTAAGACTCGTATTCGCATTGGCCAAGCGAAACAAGTAGTCAGTGTTTACACAGTATAGCCCACGAAATGTAACTGAATATTTCTAGGTGCTAATAGGAAGCTCCTTTTTCCTAAAACCATCCGATGTACCTCAGGATTGCTAATCTAATTTTCCCACCGAACCGGACAACGCTTCGGAGACAGTGGCCAAATGGTGAAAGATTTCATATGTCATCCATATGTAGAGACCAAATTTCTAATCCATAAAGCAGTATGAATCGTACCATGGCAGCGCCGTTGATAGACAATCTGACGTCACGCCGGCTTCACAGGTGTCGGGGGTTGGTAAGAGCTGAACTGGCCTCCCAGATTCAAATTATTTCGTTTTCAGTAATTCCAAAGAAATTTAACACAACCTCCCACTTCGGTGGGTCGTCCGCAGGCATCAGGTTTGTGTTTGATCCCACACACCTTTTACATTTCGCAGGTATGAAGCGCATAAAATTAGGTTATTAAAAATGGTTTGTATCTGCGAAAGATCTGAAGCAAGAGGAGCACTATCGTCCACATATCCAATATCTGTGAGCGAACGCCCCTATGAGAAATTCTACCTCCGAGGTTTTAGAAGCGGGCAGAAAATTTCAAGCAACACATCAATAACAAAGTTGAGCATGAATGGTGAGAGAGGGAAGCTATGTCTTACGCTATTGGATGTGACCTTAAGCGACAGACTTTCGTATACCCGTATGCATCCATTGGATTTCGCACAATGCCCTCATAAGGGATATAAATTTCGAAAGAACGCCTCTGGTCACCAGACGCCGCCATTTTTCGGACAGTCAACAGAGTCAAAAGCATCTTTCAGAAGAAGAAAAACGAACAAAATTGGACGTTTACAAATATTAGCGCTGCTCAGGAACTTGTCTCAAGGTAAAGATGTAGTTAATGCGCCCAGCTTGATTCTCACGAAACTATCTCTCCCAATAATAGGTCAACCTCTGCACAATAATGCCAGAGAGCACCTTGGATGCCACGGCTACTAGGCTTATGCCACGATGACTGCGTAATATACCTGTGCCCGTTTTGAAGACTGGGATGAAGGTTGAGGCGCTTTATTTCACTAGCATTCACTTTTCGTCCCAAATCCCCCGCAGTAGGGTAGTCAGACTGTTACCCAGGGCTTCACCAGCTTATTTGAAGAGTGCGGCGTACAGACCATCCAGGCGAAGTGCTTTGTCGCGTTAAAGGAATGATGTCACCCTGGATTTCTGTTCTTGATAGCGGGCTGGTGTTGATATTCAGGTGAGGCCCACTGGGTCTTTCCAGCAGTTATGGTGAAGGGAAGCAACTGAACTGTTCAGCCAATTCCTCAAGACGATGACTTTGTGAGTGAATTGTCGTTCCGTCTTTCCCGCATTTCGTTTCGCTAACACCTGTCTTCTTTTGACTGGTTGATCGAATCAGGTGCAATAGGGTGAGGCTGTGCCTGTGGCAAATACTTCCCCATATTCTGGGTCTCTACAATCAAACAGCGTTCTACGTCATACTTCGACCTCCAGTGTTTGAGCGACCTGTGTGCGCCACCATAGTTTCTAGTTGCTTTTATAATCTTTCTGGCAGCAATAAGACATGCTGATCTCAACGATATCCAGCGTTCATTTAGGCGATGCGGATGCCTTGTTTCATCATCATCGACAGCATGACATCAGTGTTCAACACCAATGCTTCACTGCCGTACAACCATGATTTATTTGAAAGCCACATTGTAAAGAAAAGAGTAAAGGTGGATGGGGGAGGGACTTAGTGCTAGC